ATTTTGAGAACGTGATAGAGGTGCACCTGTGCATGTGGATGTCAAAAAACAGCTCTGTAGTTGCTCTCTTCTTGTACCTTACATGGGTTCCAGTGATGGAACTCAGGTCATCACTCATGTGCAGCAAGTATTCTTACGTGCTAGTTTAGAGGCTCAGGAAGGAGGATTGTTGGTTGAGGCCTGGGCTGCATGGCAAATTCCTGGCCAGTGTGTGATGAACAGTGAGACCCTGACTCAGAATATCCCATGCAAAGAAAGAAAGTGTATGGTAATTTTTATGAAGCTGTGATTTCAAATATCCAAAGTAATTTTCAGCTGGGCTATGGCCAGTGCCTTTACTTTAGGCCCAACCCTTGAGAGGCAGGCAGAATCTCTTGAGTTCAAGGCAAGTCTGGTCTGCAGAGTGGGTTCCAGGACAGCCAGGGCTACACAGAAAACCCTGACTCAAAAAAGAAAAGGTAACTTATTAAATATTTGGGTTTTTTGAGACAGGGTTTCTCGGTATAACAGTTTTGCTTGTCTTGGAACTTACTTCGTAGACCAGTCCTGCCTCTGCCTCCCAAGTGGGATTAAAGGCATGCACCACCGGCACAAAAAGTAAGTCTTTTCTTTGTGAGAGCTTAGTCTGTGTTTTGTGTTTTTCAGGGAAGATTACTTTGCAAAGAAAAATGAAGAAAGAAAGCAGAGCAAAGTGGAGGCTAAATTAAAAGCTAAACAGTAAGTGTGAATTCATGTGACATAATTGAATTTCTTAATGCTTTGACAAGCTTAGCCAGTGGTTCTTGGATGAGCTGATGATGAGCTTTGAAATGAGTAGTAATGGGTCTGTCTTTACTGGTAGTGAAATATTGGTCTTAAGATACCTTGATAATCCAGAAGCCATATTGCTGGTGTTGTATGATCAAAAAAGTCTAAGGACTTGCTTTGATGATTTTAATAGTAATGGTGGAGTTTATTAGGGTTTTTAATGTAGTTAAGTCTAAACATACTGTAATCACAACACGTTTATTTTTAGAGAACATGAAGGAAGACACAAGTCAGGAAGTACCGAAACAGTAAGTATTAATATCTAATACATGAGAGAATTTAAGTTAGAATGACTTTGAGTTGGTGTGTTGTGTGTGTGTGTGTGTCTGCTGTTGTATGGGGGTCTAAGGACAGCTTGTAAGTTATTTTCCTTCTGCCATGTGGATCTCAGGGATTGCACCCAGGTTGTCAGGCTTGACATCCAACACCTTTACCTGCTGGCCCCTAGATTTTGTGTATTTAGAGATAAGGTTTTACCATGTTAACCTGGCTGGCTTAGAATTGGCTTTGTAGACCAATAAGACCTCAAACTTGGAGGGATCAACCTGTTTCTGCCTCCCAGTTGCTGGGACTAAAGGCATGCACCACTGTGCTCTGCTAAAATAACTTGTTTAAATATTTTTCTCTATTTTATTTTTTAAAATAAATGTATTTTATATTTACCCTCTCTCCTCTCAGTCTCTCCCTGCCCCACCCTTTGTTCTGCCCCCCAATCAACTCCTCCCTTTCTGTTTAGGAAAGTGCAGGAGTATCAACAAAACACTGCATATCAAGTTGCAGTAAGATTAAGCACCTCCCCATGTATTAACGTTGGTCAGAATGATCCAATATGTGGAGTATAGTCTCAGAAACCTGTAAAAGAATTGAAGACAGCTGGGTGGTAGTGGTGCACACTGTTAATCCCAGCACTTGGGAGGCAGAAGAGGGTGTGTCTCTGTAAGTTCAAGGCCAGCTTGCTCTACAGAGTTCCAAGACAGCCAGGGCTGTCTTACACCCCCTCTCAAAAAAAAGTCGGAGACAACCCTTGTCCCCACTCTTAGGAGTCTCACAAAAGGACCAAGATACACAACTGTAACATGTATGCAGAGTGCCTAGGTCAGTCACATGTAGTTGTTGCTCCCTAGTTGTTGATTCAATCTCTCTGAGCCCCAATGAACCACACACACACACACACACACACACACACACACACACACACACACACACACACACACACACGTTTAATTTTGCGTGTGTTAGGTACCCTTGGAGGTTAGAAGAGGATGGCCAATCCTCTGAAGTTAGTTACTTGTATGAGTGACACAATGGGTGCTAGGAACTGAACTCAAGTCTTTGAAAGAGCAACAAGTGCCTTTAACTATTGAACTACCTCTCTGGCTCCTCCTCTAAGAACACTTTTTTTTTTTTAAAAAAAAATTACTTATTTTGCATACCAACCACATTTCCTCCCTTCTCTCATCCTCTTTCCCCACCTCCTTTTTATCCCTTCCCCCATCCACTCCTTGGTTTCCATTCTGATGGGGTAAGGCCTCCCAGGGGAGTCAACAAAGCATGCATATCAAGTTGAAGTAGGACTAAGTTCCTTTGCATCAAGATCAGACAAGGCATCCCACCATGAGGAATAGGTTGCAAAGAGCCAGCTCATGCATCAGGCATAGTTCCTGGTCCCACTGCTAGGGGCCCCACAAAAGACCAAGGGTAGACAACTGTCACCCAAATGCAGAGGGCCTAGGTGGGTTCCCTGCTGGCTCACTGTCCAAAAGTCTGAGTTCCCAAAAGCTCAGTTCAGCGCTCTCGCTCTCTCTCTGTTTCCCCATTCTGTTCTTGACACCCACCCTTCTTACTCATATAATTCCTGTCCTCTTCAGCTGAACACAGCTTGGCTGTGGATCTCTGCACCTGCTTCCATCAGTTATTGGATGAAGGTTCTATGATGACAATTAGTCACCAATCTCATAGGGAAAGGCCAATTCAAGTACCCTCTTGCTAGAAGTCTTAGTTGGGGCCATCTTTGTGGGTTCCTGGGAGTTTCCCTGGCAATGAGAATACTTTAAGATATTTTTTTTGTTTTAAATTTCTGTGTTTATGTGAAAAATGTTTTGTCATATGTATGTACGGGTTCCTGGAGTGAGCAATAAAGGGTACCAAGTCCCCTGGACCTGGAGTTACAAGTGATTGAACCATCCAAACTGGTAACTGAACTTGGGTAGACTGGAGGAATGGGAAGTGTTAACCCCTGTGCTTCCTTCTCCAGTCCCTTAGAATGAGGGTGTTTTTTTTTTTTTTTTTTTTTGTTTTTGTTTTTTGTTTGTTTGTTTTCAAGACAATGGTATAGCTTTGGAGCCTGTCCTTGAACTCAGTATGTAAACCAGGCTGGCCTCAAACTCACAGATACCACGTGCCTCTGCCTTCCAAGTGCTGGAGTTAAAGGCATGCGCCACAATCGCCCGGCTGAATGGATTTATAAAGTATGAGAACTTGTGTGTGTGTGTGGTGTTGGAAATGGACTTGTAGTCTCCATAGTACTTAGGCCTCTAGCCACGTATGAGGACTTCTTAGAGAATGTAAGTAAGTGATTCTACTAGTGTTATTGCATTAGTTATACACAAATAATATTGTTTGGGATCATTGTTTATTAGAAGAGAGTGAAACTCACCTATAGAAGAAACTTAATAAAATAAAGCCATTGTAAAACAGGATGGCAGAGAAAAACATACTGTTAAAGTGTATTAAAATAATAGCACAGACGTCTCTTTTTCCTTATGGTAGGTATAGAATGATGTGAGCCATTTTGGTGAGGTTGATCTTAGCAAACCTTTTGATGGCCTTGTATTATTTTTATATAGAGACCTCTAGAAGGAAAGATGGGATGCTTATTGAAGTTTTCAGGTGACTTGGATGACCAGACCTGTAGAGAAGATTTACACATCCTTTTTTCAAATCACGGTGAAATAAAATGGATTGACTTTGTCAGAGGGGCAAAAGAGGTTTGTGAATATCTTTGTCCTTATTACTCTATAGAACATTTTGTTAGAAGATGAAATTACTAGGAAGCAGTCTTTCCTTAAAACAATAATTTATAAAGCGTGTTGATTAAAATAGTTAACTACTTAGTCATTTACTTTTGTCTTTAAGTCCTTTTACTGGGAGTGATGTCTTTTTTTGCATGTCAGTTGCTGTGCTGACCTTGTAACAAGATTTATAGGAGGCATATCATGAAAAGGCATGATGAACTGAAAAAAAAAGATCCTTTTGGGTGGGTGGGTAATAGTATAAATAACTTGGTACTGGTGACTGGAGTTTACTTTTAAAGCATTCCTTCCTAATCAGTAAGATGCGTTGAAAATAGCAGTAATAGATATGCTGGCGTTAGGGAGTAGCTTTGAGTAAAGAAATTGTCAGACTAAAAACTGAAGAATGAAAACATTCATTTTTCTCCTTGTGTAGGGAATAATTCTCTTCAAAGAAAAAGCTAAGGAAGCACTTGAGAAAGCCAGAAGTGCAAATAATGGTAACCTACAATTAAGGAACAAAAAGGTGACTTGGAAAGTACTGGAAGGACATGCAGAAAAAGATGCAATGAAAAAAATCATGGAGGATCAGCAAGAATCCCTAAATAAATGGAAGTCAAAAGGAGGAGGTTATTATTCTGATTTATTAATCTTTGCTTGAGAAAAATCTTAGTTTTCAGCACACTTAGAATTTTGGACTAAGTTCTCAATCATGTTTCTGCAGGCCGCAGGTTTAAAGGAAAGGGAAAGGGGAACAGACCTCCCTATGCTGGGGCACCCAAAGGAAGAGGACAGTTTCAGGGAAGGAGACCAAGATTCGATGATGACGATCATCATCATCATCGACGAGGTAAGTCTCCCTCAAGTCCTCTGGGAGTGGTATCCGCACTTGAGAAGACAGTTGATTCCTCTATGCTGTCTCACAAATGACAGGTTGGTTGAAAGATGACTTTAAAGTTCAGAAAGGCTGTGTACTCAACTCCCTCAAGGGAAGTTGCTAATTTTTTCAAGGAAGCTATTATTAGTAATTGTAGTCAATATTAATAAAGCAGTGTTTACATTGATTTTTAACAAATTATTTGTGATTGTGTAGGACCAATGAAAAGAGGAAGAGACGGCAGAGACAGAGAAGAGCCTGCATCAAAGCATAAGAAAAGAGAGAATGGTGCTAGAGACAAGTAGTTTAGTAAGCAATGTTTTTATTCATCTTAGTTAGATTTTAAGCTGCTTTTTGTCTTCGGAAGCTTTTAAAAAGAAAAGCGAATTAGGTCCACTTCAATGTCCACCTGTATAAAAGGAAAAAAAATTTGTTTTACTTGTCCTTTTTTTTTGTTGTTGTTATCCAAATGAAAGTTTTTTAAAATGTATAGTTCTGTTTGTGTTTGGATGATTCAAATATGAAAAGGAAGATTATTCCTCTTAATTGCCTTTGTAATATGAGAATGTATTAGTACAAACTTGTAAAATATATGCTGTATAAAAATAGCCAACTGTTTATTTTTTTTTCTTTTTTTTGCTCTTAAAACTTTTCAAAAAGAACTTCAACTAGAATATTGACTGCTTTCAGTATGGGCCCTTTCCACAGTTAACTTATCTGATTTCTCAGGCTGGCTTTTTATTTACCCATGCAACTTGCTAAGAGTGGAAAGAACTATTGCAAAGCTTTTGAATACTGAATGTACACAAGCCACAATTGGGAAACTTACTGATTTCTTTTTATGAAAGTTGTATAATGCTGGCAGGTCATATCGAAGCTCTGTAAAACAAGCCAAACATTCACTTTAAAGTATTAAATGCTGGTATAACATTTTACATTCATCACTTTGGACATATGTGTCAAGTTATGCACGGTGTTCCTGCTGTTTTGATCACATCAAAATTTGAGGTTAATAGAGAATAGTTACAAGAATTATTAACAAGTGGAGGAAAAAAGTTCCATGATATTTTCCTGTCTACATTTTAATAATATTTACCCCTAGTTAATTTTTTTCCACTAACAAAATGAAGGCTCATTTTTCATTCTTTTCTAAATTCTCTGTACTTTCACTATTGACCAGTTGTATTTTTTTATAACTTCCGTTGTAATTCTGACTCTACAGGTCATTACCTCTCTATATGTGTGATCAAGTCATCTGGGAATCTTGTTTAGCTGCCAACTAATTCTGTCTGTGTAGGCTCAGGGTTGTTAAAGCTGATGGTCTGAAATTACTACACATACTATTAGGACTATTATAAAATGTTCTGTATTGAGTTCCGTTAGAGAGATTATTTAAGGAATGACAACACTTAATCTAATAAGGAAGGCAAACAGGTCTTTATGAACAATTTAGGTAGATGCTTTAACATCATAGGATCAATTCATGGTAAACTCATGGCTAGGCATGGTGCCATGTGCCTTTATTCCAGCACTGGGAAGTAGAGGCAGGCAAGTACTAGTCTACTAGGACATCCAGAGATACACACAGAGAAACCATGTCTCCAAAGGAATAAAAATATTCCTTTTATATCATACATTGCCCTCATTTTCTCTTGTGTGTACTAAATAAGAACATTACCATACCCCAGTCTTTATAGTTTATTTCAAGCTTCTTTGGGTGACTTCTACAGGTTTTCATGTTGTGATGTTGGCAAACTTAACTTAGTAAAAAGGGGGAAAAAAGGAATCTTGTATTACACTATGGATGTTATATATTCTGTCACCCACCAGAAAAGGAAAGGTTGGTGTTAAAGCTATATGTCAAGCATAAATCACTGGCATTTTCAAGTAGTCTTAACCATGTTCAGTTCCATGTTTTCACTTACTGATGGTAGTAATCTTCTGTTAGGGCCCGGAAGACCAAATACCTAGGTACCATTACTTTTTTTTTTTTTTTAAAGAAAATGCATAAATAGGGATAGGTGCAGGCAAACTTTGGTAAATGTTTACCCTGTGTTTAGTGCATTTCCGACCTACTTCTGAACTGGATAACATTTCATAGTATTTTTTCAGTACTTTAAAAATTTTATGCTGGTGGGCTGGAGAGATGGCTCAGTGGTTAAGAGCACTGCTCTTCAGAGGACCCCAGGTTCAATTCTCAGCACCCACATGGCAGCTCACAGCTGTCAGTAACTCCCAATTCCAGGAGATCAGACACCTTCATACAGACACATGCAGGCAAAACACCAACAATGTCCATGAAATAAAAGTAAATTTTTTAAAAATTTGGCTGGCCTGTTAGCCTTTTAAATAATTAGGGTTGTAGCCAAGTGGTGGTGGTTTCATGCCTTCAATCCCAGCACTTGGGAGGTAGAAACAAGTGGAACTCTTTGAGTTCCAGGATAGCCTGTCTTGAAAAAAACCAATTACGGTTGAGATATAGCTTACCTGCAATAATTTCTATCTTGACTTTCCATTCTGCAGCTTTCTTCTGAATATGCTATAAGACAAATAATATTTTCATATGAGTTGATGTTTAAATCTGTTAATGTTTGAGATTAAAATGAAAAACTTTGAATAAAATTAGACTCAAATTTTAATTATATGAACATTTTTAAAAGCTAGGAACAAAGTGACTTTGATGTTTAACTGAACCACGTATGTAATTGAAAAATTCATCAAAAGTAGCTTTATTTCATTAGTGAATAAAAGTTCTATGCCAACAGACTATTCAGTGGCAGAATGGTCTGGAGCCATGGCCTTTGGAACTGCAGTCCTCCACCTTAGTACCTAACTAAAGTAGCCCTGGCTAAGTTATTCCTTCTGGACCTACCTCATTTTCCTCATGTGCTGAAGGATGTTATCTGATCAGAATGAAGTGTCCTAAGCAGTGCACCAAAAACATTAGCTGCAAGTCTAAATTCCTGAACATCTTCACAAATAAATTTTTAATCTGTTAAATTATTTAAAAATTAACATTTCAACATCAATGGAAATGGAAAAGGTTAAATTATGGCCATATAATACTCCAGAAAGGTGAGAGATGTTGAAATTTGGTATTATATACATTTTGGCCATATTGGTAGTCATCTTTATGATCAAATTGATAAAAAAAATTCCCAATATTTTAGGTTCAAATATTTCAAATACTATAACTTTTTGTCTATTGATCCTCCCTCCCCCCAAATGTTCTGGATGTATTTCCTTCCACTGAAGATCAAAAGTTTGGTGGCTAGAGATGGCTCCGTGGTAGGTATATTTGTGTAATCAATGAGGACTGGAGTTAACACCCTAGTCACAATCTGCGAGGAACACTTTTTTAAAAAACTTGTTTTTATCAAACAATTACATCAGATCTATACTATGAACAGCAAGTCAAATACTTTTGTCCTAAGTAATCCTGAAGTGAAGTTTAAGCTTTCTTCCTTGGGTTGCTTCTTGTTGGGATATTTTATAGCAAAAGAAAGTGAACAATACAGAGATTGAATTTAGGTCAGCAGGCTTGCTGGCAAGCACCTTTACTGACTGAGTCATTGTTGACTTAAATTTTTTGAGACAGAGTCTCATGTATCTCAGTTTGCCTTGAAACTACTTCTGAAGCAGAGAAGCCTGAGCTCACACTCCTGCCTGTACTTTTTGAATGTTGGAATTATAGGGGTGTACCACCAAACTTGGTTTATGCTATGATGGCAGTTAAATCCAGGGCTTTGTGAGATGGTCTAGTGTGCACAAGCCTAGCCTTTTGTAGTTAAAGATGATTTTACATTTATCATCCTTCTGCATCCACCTCCCAAGTGCCTGGATCATAGGCATGTACCAAGCAATGTTATGCTTTTACAGGGCTATTAGATCACCATATACCCCAAATGTATTCCTTTGACCTGGATTCTTTTTGCTGTGGGCACGTGTGTACATGTGTCTGTACATGGCTGTAGAGATCAGGTTGATACTTGGTTTCTTTCTCATTTGTCCTTTTTTGAGACAAGCATGGATGAAGACAAGAAGGCCCAGCGTGAAGAGCATTTGCTGTTCTTCAAAAGACCTGGGTTAAATTCCCAGCACACTCAGCAGATTACACAACTATCTGTAACTCCAGTCGAGGGATCTGATTTCTTCTACTGGTCTCTTTGGACATGAGGCACACATGTTAAGCACAGACATACAGGCAAAACACTCATACACATAAAATTTAAAGAACTATATATATATATATACATATACAATTTCAGGGAACAATAATAGATAACTGATAATTAAATATTCCAGACAAAGACATAAGTATTCGTAAATGTGCCAGACATGGACCTAAGTATTTCATAAAAATACTAACTCATTTAATCCAAAAGTAAAGTGTAGCCTATTCTTACTTCCTAAGAATATAGGGTTGTATAGTATAGATGATGGTACCAATGCCCAAGTGCCTTGACCAGGATTACAGCTAAGACGAAGTAGTTTATGTGTTAATCCAGGACAGACAAGGTCTAGTCATTAAGCTACAATAACATTCAAATATTAACCTCACAGTGTTCTGAAATAAATCTTGTACATGGTATTTTATGTCCTGTAGCTGGTAGAAAGAATAATAGAAGTTTTTTTTCTCTTTTTAACATTCATATATTGTGTGATGTGTAGCTGAATATTCTACAGCACACATGTGGGTTCTAGAGATCACTTGGCAGCAAGCCAGTCTCTTGCCCAGACCTGTTTTGCTTTAGGCCATGTTTTTAAAAAATCAACCCTTGGGCCAGTGAGAAGGCTCAGTGTGTCAAGGTCACTGGCTGCCAAGCCCGATGGATCTGAGTTTGGTCCCTGAGATTCTCATGGTGAAGAGAACTGATATCTGAAGGTTGATCTCTTATCTCCACATGTGTGACCTGACACATACATGCACACACCTATTTGAAAATAAACTGACATAAAAATAAAACAATATATGTGCACGCATATGCGCGCGCGCATACACCCACCCACCCCAAGGTGGTTTCTCTGTGTGGCCCTGGCTGTCCTGGAACTTACTCTGTAGACCAGGCTGTCCTCCAACTCAAGAGATCTGCCTGCTTCTACTTCCCAAGTGCTATGATTAAAGGTGTGTGCTACCTCTACCTGGTTAAAATAACAATATTGTTATCATTTAAGCTTACTTCTCTAGTAGAGGATTTGTGTAAAGAATATACTGCTGTTCTTGCCATTCCCAAAGCAGTCTTCAGAAAAGTCATATCTGTACCTGTAAAAAAGAAAATTCCTATTTATATTGTTTTTGGGTTTTTTTCTCTTTTTTTCTTTTTTTGTTTGTTTGTTTCTTTGTGTAGCTTTGGAGCCTGTCCATCCAGGAACTAGCTCTTGTAGACCAGGCAGGCCTCAGACTCACAGAGAGATGCCTGACTCTGCCTCCTGTTTGCTGGGATTAAAGGTGATCACCACAACTGCCAGGTGTATTTAATATTTATTTATTATGTGTACACTGTTCTGCCTGCATGTCAGAAGAGGGTACCTAAACTCATTATAGATGGTTGTATTATTTATTTCTTAGCAGAGAGGATTAAATGAATAAGATTAAGTAGCATTCTTTCCAAACTAAAATTTCTTCTTCACTTCATTTTTTCAGAAAGGGTACAGATAAAATGTTGAAGCTGGAAAAGTGGCTCAGCAGTTAAGAGCTCTGTTTGCTCATCTAGAGGACATAAGTTCAGGTCCAGCACCTACGTGATGGCTCACACCATCCTTAATTCCAGATCCTAACTTAGAAGTATCTGACATCTGACTTTCTTCAGACACACAAAGCTACACACAAACATAGGCTAAATCCTCACAGATAAAATAATTCTAAAAACCTTAAAAAAAAAACACTAGGGGCTAGAGAGATGGTTCAGTGTTTAAAAGCACTGATACTCTTCTAGAGGACCCAAGTTTGATTCCCAGTAACCATGTAAGTGGCTCATAACTGTAACTCCAGTTCCAGAGGCTCCAATATCCTTGCCTTTTTTTGGGCACTGCACACATGTACAAAAACATGCAGGCAAAAACCTGTACACAAAAGTAAAAGAATAAACTCTTAAGCTGGGTGTGGTGGCACACACCTTTAATTCCAGGATTCAGAGGGCAGAGGAGGGAGTTTGAGGTCTACAGAGTTCCAGGAAAGCCAGAACTTTCTCAAAAGAACATTTAAAATAAAATCTGATGAAACCAAACTTAGTATTCTGACTTAGAGGAGTGAATGAAGAATGCAAACTAGTCAAAATAATCTTGGTGGTATGATGCTTTAAACTGCATTTTTTCCCCCTTTCTTTACTGACTTCCTGATCTTGCCAACAGTACACACAAAAATGAGCACAGTGAATCCCTATGGGCATATTTTGAAACCCAAAGGCTTAATAACAGGTTTTAGAAACTGAGAGTGTTTGCCTTCGTGATAGAGAGCATGTGCTCAGCATATGTGACATCCCTGTTTTAGTTCCCGGAGTCCCTCCAAAAAAGTCTAATTTCTAAAAGAATAAAAAAGGTTTTAAGTTTTATAACCATGGAGGCTGATCAAGTTATTCCAGTTATTAATCAGAAATATGAATACATTTGTACAAATCTGTAAGAATAAAGATTAAAATTTTCCAATTGAACATCAAATGTGAATTTTAGTAAGTATTAAAGTGATTAGCTAATTTAATAAACAGTAGTAATAAAAATCACTTAACCCAGATCGCTGCTCTATGAATATGGGAATATGCTGAACCTTTATTACTAACCTTTATTATTTTTGGTTCCAAAGGGAGGATTCATAATTACTGTATCAAATAACTTGGACATTCTGTTAGATAATGAGTACACATCACACTGAATCATATCAACATTTGTTAACTCAAACTCTTCCACATTTCTATTAAATATTTCCAGTGCATCTTCATCTATATCAAATCCAACACACAACCTATAAATATAAAATAAAAAAAAAAAAAAAAAACAATTTACAGGTTCCTGGTTAAATTAAAAAAAAAAAAAAAAAGAAAGGTAATCCCAGCCTACAATCCATAACCCCAGAAAAGCTTGAACCCTCTTCCAGAAACAGATGGAAGCAGATGCAGAAATCCACAACTAACCAATGGGCTAATCTCCTGGAGTACAATTGAAGGGGGAGGAACAAAAATATGAACAAAGGAGTCAAGACCATGACGGGGAAACCCACAGAATCAGCTGGTCTGAGCTAGTGAGAGATCACTGACTTACATGTAACAAATGGGGAACCTGCATAAGACCAAACTAAACTTGTTTAATGTAGGTGACAGTGGTGTGACTGGGACAGTATATGAGGCCACTGGCAGTGGGTCCAAGATCTAACTCTAATGCACAAACTGACTTTGTGGAGTCCATTCTATATGGAGAGATACCTTGCCCAGCCTAGTCAGGAGGGGGAGGGGTGTGGAGGTTGAAGGGTGGTGGAGAGGTGCCTTGGTACTGCCTCAACAAGATGATGGGACAGTCTTAAGACTTCCTAGGGGAGGCCTTACCCTCTCTGTGGAGCAGATGGGGGGGGGGGGTGGATAGGAGGAGAGGAGGGAGAGGGAACTGGGATTGGAATGTAAAAAAAATGTTAACAACTTTAAAATTCTATAGTCTATACAAATTAAAGCACATTCATATTTCAGTCTAAAAAAATGGTAGTTATTTTAACATGCAATTTTCAGCCCAATTAACAGTTTTGTTTGTTTTTCTTTTGTTCTTTTTGATTTTTGAAACAGGGTTTCTTTGTGTAGCCCTGGCTGTCCTGGAACTCGATCTGTAGACCAAGCTGGCTTCAAACTCAGAGATCTGCCTATCTCTGCCTCCCAGGTGCTGGGATTAAAGATCCACACCACCACCACTGGGCTTGATGTCTCTCAAGTAAAGTTTTGATTTTTAGCCTACTCAAAATGTACTCAGTATCAAATTATTGCTCCTCTCATCTTACCCATAGAGTCCTATGAATATAGCGCAGTTGGTCCTATATACATTTACTGAAGCCATACTGTATCCAAGTAGGAAAAATGATCACTTACCCTGCTCCTAACATGGAAGCCCCGATGCTAAGTACTCCACAACCACATCCTAAATCTGCAACCACTTTATTTTCAATGTCATCATAGGTATTATGGATCGTATAGAGCATGCATGCTAAAAACAGTAAAAGTAAAACATTAGGGAATAAGTTAGCAAACTTACTACTAAAATCGAATGCAAATGGCTCTAAAATAATCAGTCTTCTCTCAGCATGGAGCTTCAGATTATTTGTTTTCCAGTGTATTTTTTAATACTTTGTATTAGGAAGAGTCACCACAAAGGAAGGTAGTATACACCATTGGTTCCCACATACTATAGGACTATGTCAAGTTTCTGCTGACAATAAGACTTAAAAAAAAATGTTCAAAACATTTGCTCTACACAGATACATAGATGTAGATTTTCCTTTGATGCTGAGATATTTTTATGAAAGATTAAGTTTTATGAATGATGAAGTATCATTCTTGGTCAAAATACAAGTTTAGTAACCCTGTATTATGTCTCCAAAACAATTTTGAAATTTCACTGATTTGGGGCTGGCAACATGGCTCTTAGTGGGCAAAAGTACTTGCTTCGAAGGCTAACAACTTGAGTTCAATTTCCAAGACCCATATGGTGGGACGGAAGATAATAAGCAACTGTCAGTTCTCCTTGGACCTGATTGAGGGCAAAGACTTGTGTAACCCCCAATAAATAAAGGGCACAGAACTTATTTGTAGTATGTTTATCACCAGAATATAGTTAAAGTTTTGCTTGCATGGATGTGAGCCATGTGTCTGGTGAAGCTACTGACAGTTGTGAGCTGCCATGTGGGTGCTGAACTGAATGAGCCCAGGTCCTCTAGAAGAGCAGCCAGTGCTTCTAAATGCTGAGCCTTCTCTCTACCCAAACTTAGTCGTAATATCAATATATGCACATACTCATAATCTATAACAGAGACCTGATATCAGAACAAAAAATGAGGGCAGAAGTGGCTGAAATTACGTAGAGTTCTCAAAGACAAGACTCTCAAAAATAGAGTATATTAAACATGAGTAACACCATCAGTTTTTCTTTGTGTATTTCAGAACTCAAGGACGGGTAGCCATCTGAGGATCCAGAAGATTTATTTCAACCATCACCGGGTGTTGGTGGTGCAGGCCTTTAATCCCAGTACACCAAGGCAGAGAGAGGCACTGGGGTTCTGAGTCTACAGAGCTAATTCTAGGACAGCCAAGGCTACATAAAGAAACCCTGTCTCAAAAATAAATACATAAAAAAACAAAACAAAAAACCCATAGGGCTGGAGAGATGGGTAAGAGTACTTTTTCCTCTTATAGAGGAGTTGGGTTTGATTTTTAGCATCCACATGTCAGTTCACAACACTTTTAATTCCAATCTCTGACCTCATAGGCACCAAACATATGTGGTGCCCATATATAACATACAGGAAAAACATTTATACACATAATTAAAAAGTTAAACCAACTATGGGATACTTGATTTCTGTTGCAGGTACTTTGAAACTCATGTGCACATTACAAACTAGGTGTTTGTAATTTATTGATTGGTTGATTGATTTTGAGACTCATTATATAACCCTGGCTTGCCTGGCTACATGGTCCAGACTGGTCTTGAAGTCACAAGATCTAACTGCCTCTGATTCCCAAGTGCTGGGATTAAGGGTATGTTCCATGTTCCACCTCTAATTTTTATCTTTTTTTTCCCCCCCCTAGATAGGGTTTCTCTATGTCCTGGTACTTGCTCTGTAGAGCAGGCTGGTCTTGAACTAATAGAGATCTGCCTGTCTGTGCTTCCCAGTGCTGGGATTTAAGATGTACCCCACCACTGCCCAGATTAATTTTTATCTTTTGAAAATTAGATTTCATGATAAAACCCTACAACGAAAAGGCTGTAAGAAGTTTCACTGAGAAAGCCAGGGACTTGCTTGGTAGGTAGCTGGCTCAGTCTGTACTGTCCTTACCCTGCAAACACTAGAACCAGAGTTCAGATCCCCAGCAGTGCTGTAAAAAGCCAGGTGCGGTGCAGTGCTGCAGGATTATAAACCCACCACTAGGGAGAGAAGACAGGATGATCTCTGAGTTTTGCTGTGCAGCCTTTTGGGGTGAATGGGTAAGCTCTAAGTACAGAAAGACTCTGACTCAAAAAACTTACGGAGAGCAATTGAGGAAAACACCCAATGTTGAACTCAAATTCTGCCCTCCACACGTGCAGGCACATGAACATATACACACTAAATACATAAGAGAGAAAACTAGTCTTTAATCAGAACACGGTTTAATGCAAATGTTGGTTGCAGCTGTGACAATATTTTAAACACATGTATTCTCCATGAGTTTTATTGGTAGCTTACAAACAGCTATTTTGGAATTGGAAAGGATTCCCCTTTGCAGGTACTCCCAACCAAAGGAATTTTTCTGTCTTCCCTGCTACTCTGTGACACGTATTGCCTATGAATGGATTCGGCTGTATCCTCTCCTACACTCTCAGTATCAGTCTCACGCATCAAGAAAGAGGTAATTTGTTAAAAATGAAAACACATCCTCAACTTTACACAAGCATGTAACCCTGGTTTTTTGTACATAGAGCAGAGAGACAACACAAGCATCCTTGTTATAATTAAAGGTGTGGGATTTCTCTAGAACAAATTAGATCCAAATCATTACTTGTTTTATCATGAACTGGACAGAAATAACCCCAGAAGATAAACTAGCCGCCCTACCTGCAATGTGCGGCCTGGTGGGATACTGTTCTAGAAGTAACTTTGGCTTTTCGAACCCGTCCACTTCTTGCAGGCGACTCTCTAGTTCCTTAAGCCTTAACTTCCTCATTGTTTTTATTTTCAAATCTGGGCTTCCCGGGTTTAACAGCACAGGACCTGCAAGGAAATCTACCTCTAGAGCGGTGCAGGCCGGGGCGAGCAGACTATTTAGGATTCAGCAAGGGAATCCCACAGATTTCTCGGGGATCATAGCTCCAAAGACGAAGGATTGCACGACGAAGCGGCTAGACGATCCTCCCGAGGTCCTCCCCACAGCGCCGGAAGCGCCAACGCGGACGCGCACACTCGGCCGGCGCCGAGCTGCAACCTCTGCCAGGCGCCAGGGTTCCGCCCGGGACCCGAGTGGATTTTGGCCCTCTGGGGAGCCATCGGAAGAAGAGGTCATCCTGTGCGGGCGCAAACCAGCCTTAATGGCTCCTGGGAACGCCAGCTTTGTCTTGAGCACGTATAGCCGCCCAAAACTGGGGGGGAAAAGAGCTGAAGGAGAAATGGGACCCTAGGCCATGTGACCCTTTCTTTGTTTCTCCCAAGACTCAGAAAGAAGCGATCTACACCCACTTCGGCTTTAACTTCGTGCCCCTCTCTCTGGAGCATCGTGTTTCTTAAAAGTTAGTGATGTCGGTGAAGCCAGAAGGAAAGAAAAGTCAAAAGAGAGTTTAAAAGAAAGAACATGTCAGCATGGGTAGCGTACATTTCAGTCCCAGTACTCAGGAGGATCTCTGTAAGTTCGAGACCAGCTTGGTTTTTACACAGAGCGTTCCAGGCCAGCCAGGGCTACACAATAAACAAAGAATATGATTGTTGTATCAAATGAGGGAAACATGATAGGAATTGTTAAACTATTAGCACAAGTTGTGGATTTTGGGGGAAAATGAAGTTTAAGAAGTAGGCCTTCTTAATTATGCAAGAATGAAGGTGGTTGATGTTTAGTTGAGGCTTTATTAGTGCCATTATTAGCTTAGCAAGCTGTCTACTACTGATCTGTATTCCTAACCCATTATCACCATCATGATCATCATCACCATCATTGAGGAGACACGCCTTTAGTCCCAGCACTCGGGAGGCAGAGGCAGGAGGATCTCTGAGTTTGAGATCAGCCTGGTCTATAGAGATAGTTCCAAGACAGGCCCCAAAGCAACACAGAGAAACTCTGTCTCAAAAAATCAAAATAGTAAATAAACAAACAAATAAATAAATAAATAAATAAATAAGGCTGTAGAAATGACTCAGCAGTTAAGAGCACTCTTCCAGAGGACCTGCCTTCAATTCCCAACACAAACATGGTGACTCACAAACATTTGTAACTTTAGTTGCAGGGGATCTGGTGCCCTCCTCTGGACTCAGAAGGCACTGCATGCCCGTGATGCACAGACACAGAAAAACCACCCACACACATTAAAAAAAAAAAAAAAAAATCTTAAAAACAAGGACAGAAAATATTGGACACAATTACATTGTTTTTTACTTTATCCTGTTTTTTATATTTACTTAATTTTTATTTATTGAGACAAGGTTTCATTATCAGTCCATAGCTGGCCTGGAACTCTAATTATGGACAGAGAATTGCCTGCCTCTGGCTCAGAGTGCTGGAATTAAAGGTGTGTACTACCATACCCGGCACAATTACAATCTTGAGTCAGGATTTAGTATGTAAATGCAGGATTGCCCTTAATAGGTGAGATGACACCTCTTTTCATTGTTAAAAGATACAACAAATATTTTAAAAAGAAGTAAAAGGCTGATGAAATTGAGACTGTATCTAAGATTATCTTCTACAGTTATTGCTGTGAGCTACTATATATGAAATCTTTAGCACATTGAGCTGGTACAGTAAGTTCTTTTTCTTGGAAGAAATGTCTTGTAAATGTTAGCTGGTGATGGTGTTAACTGTTGACAGGAAAAGGTGACTGATATTAGCTAGATAAAAAGAACAGTAGTCCACTAGAGTCTGAGTCAATGACTTCCTTTGTTTCCTTTTGTTTTGTTTTGTTTGTTTGTTTGAGACAGGGATTTTCTGTATGTGCCTGCTGTCCTGGAACTAGCTCTGTAGACCAGGCTGGCCTCAAACTCACAGAGACCTCCTGGCTCTGCCTCCCAAGTGCTGAGATTAAAGGTGTGCACCACTTTTTTCTATTTTAAAAATCAAATGGAATTCTTTTTTAGACAATTTTATATTCATATGTAATCATAAAATTATACATAGAGGGCTAGGGAGTAGCTTCTTAGTTTCTTACCATACACAGTATTCTGGGTTTAATCCAGCACCACAGACGATTCTGTTTATCTTTTTACTAAAATGTAAAAGTGAATTAAAATGTGACCTTGACCCAGAATTAATTCTAATAGATAATAATGCCAAGGATGAGGCTAGGCTAGTGGGCAACTACAATGAGGCAAAAAGGAGATAGTGGCTGGTGAATTATTGACAAGAAAATGTACATTATATAGTAGAGAGGAGTTCATTATGGAAAATGATGCTTTCCCTTTTCAATGAAAAATGTTCTTTGTGTGTGTGTGTGTGTGTGTGTGTGTGTGTGTGTACATGAGTGCTGCCCTCCACACACATGTAGACTATGCAAAGGTCAGAGACAACCTACAGCAGTTAGTTCTCTTTTTCCACCTTGTTGACCCTGGGGATTGAACTCAGGTCCCTAGGCTTGTTGGCAAATGCCTTTACTTTCTGAACCATGCTCCCTAATCCAGAAGTTCTCAAAACTTAAAAAAAAAAAGAAAATGTAGAAGTAAGATCTTTTGATTTACACAGAGCATTGATGAATTAAACCTTGTGGGCAGGTACTATTTTGTTTAGGGTTTCCCCCCTTTCTTTCTGTTTTTTAAAAAGGGGTCTTCACTTTGTGACTGTAACTCTCCTGGAAATAGCTATATAGATCAAGATGGCCTCAAATTTATGACAATCCTCCTGCCTCTGCTTCCCATGTGCTGAGATTCCAAGTGTTAGCCACTACATCCATGCTTTAGATGGTGGGTTAGTAAGATATGTGATTGTTTCTGTGGAAATAGCATCTACTTTTTTAAATGCTTATTTTATTTTTAAGTGTATGGGTGTTTTGCTTACCTGTATGTCTCTGTACCATGTGCATGTCTAGTGCCTGCAGGGGTCAGAAGAGGCATTAGATTCTCTGGAAATGGAGTTGTAAGCTACCATATGAGTGCTGGGAACCAAACCTGGGTCCTTTGGAAAGGCTGCAGGTGCTCTTAACCACTAAGCCGTCTGTACAGCTTTAGCATCTACTTTAGGCATATAATCCCTTCCTCTAAAGTTCACCATTTTGGAGAAACCAAAATCAAAAATTCAAAAATACAAGAGCAACTAATAGCATTTTTTTTAGACTCTAAAGCTTAGAGTATCTAAAACTTAAAGAAATACATGCCAAAAAAGTTTTCTAAAAATACATACCTTAATATTATTATGAAAATAATCTTGATATTTATGGACTCCTTGAAAGTACCTTAAGGTTCCACTAAAGTCTACTGACCTTACTTTAAGAACTGGGAAGTAGACTGGAGAGATGGTTCAGCAGTTAAGAGCGTGGGCTGTTCTTCCAGAGGACCTGAATTCAATTCCCAGAACCCACATGGCAGTTGACAACTGGAACTCCAGTTCCATGGGATCTGACACCCTCTTACAGACATACATATAACAAAACTCCAATACACACAAAATAAAAATAAGTTATTATTTTTTAAAAAAGCCAGGTGGTGATTACACATACCTTTAATCCCAGCACTCGGGGCTGGGTGGGGGGCAGAATCAGGTAGATCTCTGAGTTTAAGGTCAGCCTGCTCTACAGAGTGAGCTCCAGGACAGAGATGCACAGGGAAACCCTGTCCTGAAAGACAACAAGCAAGCAAACAAAAAGAAAGGGTTAGTAAATATTCATATATTGAATATTTAAACTTGCAAGTGAGTATATGAGATTCTGGAAAAATAATTAGGTTTCTTAGTTTTAAAGAAATTCATGTTTGTATTTAAAATAGATTTGATTACCCAGCTAGTGAAGTTCAGGGGCGGTCCCTCAGGGGTCTTTACTGCAGGAACCCTACCCTTGTGATCATCCCCAACATGCACTGTTTTCTTGGTCACAGTTATTTGGGGAGGGTTTCAGCTGATAGTTTCTTGAGTTCAAGATGGGAAGGTCAAAACTAAACCTCTAAACCAAGTTTCATCACCTGGAGGTCTGAAATCTCAATGATGGTAATAACATCGTATTTTGATTATTTCAACATTACAATGGATAGCACACTTTTAGAAGCCTTTAAGCTCCCTATCGGGAGCATTGTATTCTACATGATCATGACCATAGAAATTTTGTCACACACACCAGATCCACAGTCTCATCCCTGGTTTCTGGAAATCATCATCTTAGATTATCCAATCTGTGTCCAACAATATGAATCTTGAAAGAGATCAGCATAAGAGATCCCTCTGGAATTCTAGCCAAATACACCTGTACCACCTGATAAAGGACACCCAAGGTTTTACAACACTGTAGAAAGCAATCCACATGAAGCCAGACAGCTTTCAGCCCATTACCTCGTGTTAGAAACGGTCTGAACATAATTAAATTGTACCCCAGCCTTGTGTAGCAAGAGCAAGGCATTTCACAATCATCAATTAACAGTGGTACATAATTTAAAGTTTGTTCAGTATTTTTCCTAATGGATCACCAAATCATAACCCAATTAGTGGCTGAAGAGATGGCTCAGCAGTTAACAGCACTTTATCTTCCAGAGGACTTGGGTTCAGGTCCCAGCATCCACATAGAGGCTAACAACCATCTATCTATAACTCCAATTCCAGGGGACTCGGTGCCCTCATCTGGCCTTTGAGGGCACTGAATGCACACAGTGCACAGACATTCATGTAAATAAAACATCCAAACACATAATTTTAAAAAGTAAATAAAAAATAATTTTGGAAAACCCAGCTGGGCATTATGACCCATACCCTTAATTCCAGCATTTGAGAGGCAGAGATAGGTCAACCTCTCTCTCTCTTTCTCTCTCTCTCTCTCAACAAGAGTTTCTCTGTGTAGCTTTGTAGACCAGGCTAGCCTCCAACTCACAGAGATCCACCTGCCTCTGCCTCCCAAATGCTGGGATTAAAGGTGTTTGACACTACCACCTAGCAAAGGTAAATTTCTTTGAATCTAAGGT